CGGCCGCCCCTCACAGGGCCAGCCCCGCCGTGCGACCCGGCCTGGCCCCCGCGGGCATGGAGCCCGCCCGCAAGCGAGCAGCGCCCCCGCCCGGGCAGAGCCAGGCACAGAGCCAGGGCCAGCCGGTGCCCACCGCCCCCGCGCGGAGCCGCAGGTGAGTGGGGAGCCCGGCGCGGAGGGGGCGTGCAGGGACGGGCCGTCGGGAACCGCAGGGACCAGGTGGGCGAGGAGCGGGAATCCGAAGGGGTGAGGAAGAGTGATCAGCAGGGAGCGAGTATTCGTGGTCGGATGCCCTCTGGGGAGGTGGGCTTGGGGGTACTAGTCGTCCAGTTCTTTGTGTTCTCAGGGTAGAGACAGGCTGGGGCCGGAGGCAGGCAGCACCCCTCCCCGCATGCCTCCTGGCCCTCTGCTTGTCACCTGCCCCGTCCTCTGTGCACCCCCCACCCAGGTTCTGGTGATGCTTCAGTCTTGGGGTGGGGGTGGGGGGCAGGCGGGAGCTGCGCTTCAGGGCTGCTTCTCCACTGCACTTTCTTGGCGTCCCCCACTCTTTAAGCCGGTCCAGGCTCTCCTTCGCCCTGGTGGCAGAACCTGCAGGGTTGCCCTGCGGGCCGGTGGTCTCTGCCCTGCGCTCTCAGGTGATCCCTGGGCTCTTGGCAGTGCATGAGCTGCGCACTCTGGCCCAGATCTGCGCCCCGACCAGGGCCAGCCCATTTTCTTGTCCGAGCAGCTGGCAGCACCCCGACAGCCCCCGCTGGCTCCTGGCAAGAGCGATGCCCCTCTGGGTTTCAGTATTGAGCCAAACACACATGCTTCCTTTAGCACAGCAGATGGGTCCCTTTAAAAGGTGTAAGATGAATTTCACGTCATTATTAAGTCTTTTTTACACATCAAGGAAAATCCACCATTTACAGGAATCCCCTCATGAATTCTTTTGCATGGTGAATCGTCATTTTGTACAGCAAATGGCTTATCTTGTACACTGCAGAGTTTCTCCCAGAAAACGTGTTTCAAACAAATCAGACCTTTAAGGAGAGCCGCTTGCCTAGATTCGCAGTTCTGGCGGGCGGGGCAGGAAGCGACATCACCACTCGGGGGCAGTATGAAGCCGTCCGCTAGGCTGCGTTGACTCTGTTGGCCGCCAAGGGTTTTGGGGTGCTTTGGAGCACCAAGCAGCTCTGGGCCACAAGTCCAAATCTCAGCTGCTGCCTGCCCCCGGTCCAGCCTCTGCCTGAAGCCGCACCGCAGAGATCATCCCCACAACATGCTCTCTGGGTCCCCGTGGGTGTGCCGTGGCCCGTGCCCTGTTAGCCAACACCAGGCGTTCCCTGGTGCCCGTCGTATTCTCTGCCAAGCCCAGCGTGAGGGGACGCAGGTCCCACCAGCCTCGTGCCGGCACTTTCCGCTCCAGGGGTGGCGGTTGTCTCCCCTTCCTGAGCTCAGGCCACCTTGGGCCGTGCACCCCGATTCCAGAAAAGGAAGGTCCTCAGAACTGGCCTCCCTTCTCCGTCCCGCCCTCCAGGCTTTCCTCAAACACTTCCACCCTCTGGAGGCACTCCCCCTGCCCCCAGCCCTGCTGAGTCTAAGTCTCTGCCCCGTGGATGGGGAGGACGCAGCGCGGACGGGCCATCCCCGTCTTCCCGGGAGAGGCTGGGGTGCCAGTTCTCCGCAGTGCCAGGGCAGCCGCTCGGGTGGGCAGACGAGCGGGCTGTGGGAGCCCCAGCCAGGCAGGCGGAGATGTCGGGATAATTTAGCAGGTGGCCTCGTTACTCCCAGATCTGTCGCCATGGTAACCTGGTTTTTTCTTTAAAAAATGTACAGTGCCAAGAGGAGGAAGATGGCTGACAAAATCCTCCCTCAAAGGGTGAGTGCCTTTCACAGCAGCCCCCAGCCCCCTGGCTGCTCCGCCCTCCCCTGGCCCTCAGGAGCAAAGCTTCAGCGTCACAGTCACTTTCACTTTTTGTTTAAAAAAGCTCATTAAGAAGTGAGGCTCCCAGGCCAGGGTGGGGGTGGGGCGAGGGCCGCAGTGAAGCCCTGGGGTGGAACACTGGGCCTGAGGTTCAGGGGGCTGAATCCTGGCAGCCCGACGTACAGGCGTGGAACAAAGGGGACCAGAGCCAGGGCCGCCAGGGCCACCAGGTGGAATGAGGGGGCCCGAGGCAGTCAGAGGCCCCGGCCTCACACAGGGCCCAGGCTGGGCTGGGTGTGGGGTGGGTGGCACTGTGGAGACTCCACGAATGGGGTCCGGGTGAGGTGCCAAGGAAGAGGCAAGCAACAGTGACCCCAACTGTCTTGGACTGCAGAGCCCCAAGCTCTCTGCAGGGACACGAGGGAAGTCCAGTGGCCGTAAGACCAGAGGCCGGTGTTTGCTGGGATTACCGTTGCTCCGTCCCCCTCGCCCCACGATGAAACGCGCGTCTGCCTAGAGGGAGTAGTGATTTTGTCCCCCCAGTCCAGACCCTACTGCTGGATGATGAAATCCCGGTCACACTCTCAAAATCCCATGCTCCGCAATCCCATCCCATGGGTGGGCCCTCCATGTCCTTTGTGCCCTGTGATGGCATGTCATGGCACCTTACATGCCACAAGACCGGCTGAGCACGATTCCTGGCTGGCTCCTTCTGCAGATTCGGGAGCTGGTGCCCGAGTCCCAGGCTTACATGGACCTCCTGGCGTTTGAGAGGAAACTGGATCAGACCATCATGCGCAAGCGGGTGGACATCCAGGAGGCTCTGAAGAGGCCCATGAAGGTGCCTTAGTTTGGGGGTAGGAAGAGGGCTCTTCGTCCTGTGCCAGGATTGGGAAAGCGGGGTGGCCCCAGGGTAGGAGCACACCCCATTAGCTCTGTACTACACTTTTTTATTTCTACAGCAAAAGCGAAAGCTGCGACTTTATATCTCCAATACTTTTAACCCTGCGAAGCCCGACGCAGAGGATTCAGATGGCAGCATTGCCTCCTGGGAGCTGCGGGTGGAAGGGAAGCTCCTGGATGATGTACGTCCTGGCCCAGGTCTCTCCAGGTGCCCTGGGGTGGGTATGGGCTAGTCGCGAACAGAACTAGAACTAGACACGGCTGCAGTGTGGGTTAAGGAGGCGGCTCTGGGGGGTGGGGCCGAGACAACTTCTGGGTATAGGGGCTGCATCTAACCGAGCTGCCTGCCTGCGGCCACCTCCTGCCCCCTCCCCACCCCGGTCCCTCTTCCTCTCCCACAGCCCAGCAAGCAGAAGCGTAAGTTCTCTTCCTTCTTCAAGAGTTTGGTCATTGAGCTGGACAAAGACCTCTATGGCCCTGACAACCACCTAGTTGAGGTAAGGCAGATTTCCCCAAGCCAAGTCCCTGAGGGACGTGCACACTCATTCAGGAACTGCCCTAGAGCCCCAGGCCCCACTGATCCACATGGGCCTGTGGGTGACCCAGCTCCTCTCCCCGGACAGTGGCACCGGACACCCACCACACAGGAGACGGATGGCTTCCAGGTGAAGAGGCCAGGGGACCTGAGTGTGCGCTGCACCCTGCTCCTCATGCTGGACTACCAGGTCTGTGCCTGCCACCGTCCCATGGATGCCACACGAGGCCCTCAGTGGGTCCAGGACCAGTTGCGCACTCGAGAATTCCCTTCTCCCTGCCCCGTCCCTCTCCAGAAGCTGTCTCCAGTCACCACACTCCCATCCCTCCCCTCCTTCTCTAATGTCCACGGCCCCCTTTCCCAGCCTCCCCAGTTCAAACTGGACCCCCGCCTGGCCCGGCTGCTGGGGCTGCACACACAGAGCCGCTCAGCCATCGTCCAGGCCCTGTGGCAGTACGTGAAGACTAACAGGCTGCAGGACTCCCACGACAAGGAGTACATCAACGGCGACAAGTACTTCCAACAGGTAGCTCTCCTGGTGCCAGCAGTCAGCAGGGCAAGCACCTCCACCGAGGTGGCCCCACCCCTCCCTCCAAGAGTCCCGAGTCAGAAACAGAACTGTCGCTGCTGTCTCAGAGCAGAGGTTCCAGTCCAGGCCCTGCCGCAGATTAGCTCCGATTAGCTCCGAGCTGAGGCCCACCCATGTTAGCCTCCCAAGTGCCTTCTGGAATGCAGTATTCCCAACACTTGTGGGTTAGCATCCTGGGTTCTAGTCCTGGTCTAGACTTGGATTACTTGTTCTGAGCCTCATTTCTCACTTTTTTTTTAATAATTATTTTATTTAACTTTATTTAATTTGACCAGAGAGGGGAAAGAGGGAGGGAGAGAAGGGAAGAGGGAGCGGGGGAGAGAGAGCTGCCGGGTCCGGGACTCGAACTGCGGTCAGCCATATGGGTGGGAGTCCAGTGCCCTTAGCCACCACACCACTTGCCAGCCCCGTCATTCCTCATCTCTGTCCCTTCTATTATTGAGCAGTTAGGAAAATCAGGTCACTGTGAAGGTGATGTGCAAAATCCTTTCCAAGTAGAGTGTGTGATGATTAATGTACTTTCAAGTAAGCACAGCAGACAGACCAGCAGTAGTGGCTGTGGTTTACTGGGCACCTGCCATCTGCCAGGCACTGTGCAGGCACGTGGTGGGTTAACCACGAAGCCCACACACCAGCCCTGAGTGGGGTCAGTACCATCCCAGTCTACAGGTGAAGCCACGGAGGTCAAGGGCACATGGTAAGAGGTGGAGGCAGGAGTGATGCCCAGGCAGGGAGAGCTGGGCTAACATCGGTCCCTCCCCGGTCAGCCATGCTGGTAACTCATCAGCACAGCACAGCCCAAACCACCCCAGAATGGAAAGTTCTAGAACTGTAGTTACAATCTCTTCAAGCATAGAATGATCTCTCTCCCCACAACTGTCCTGCTTCAGATTTTTGATTGTCCCCGGCTGAAGTTTTCCGAGATTCCCCAGCGCCTCACAGCCCTGCTTTTGCCCCCTGACCCAATTGTCATCAACCACGTCATCAGGTGAGCTGGCCCCAGCCTGCTCCTCAGACCGGCAGTTTCCTCATCTCTGCCTTTGCCAGTCCTCCCTCCCGTCCATTCCCGCCTCCTCTATGGATCCCTCTGCGGGGTGGAGTGGTCACTCAGGGTGGCGTCCCTGGCAGTGTGGACCCATCAGACCAGAAGAAGACAGCGTGCTACGACATTGACGTGGAGGTGGAGGAGCCACTGAAGGGGCAGATGAGCAGCTTCCTGCTTTCCACCGCCAACCAGCAAGAGATCAGTGCTCTGGACAGTAAGGTGGGGCCTGAGCCCAGGGCTGGAGTGGGACGTTAATTAACCCAGAAGTGAGAGCAGGCCAGAGTGCAGGCCTACGGGAGGAGGGAGGGGATGGGACATGTCCCCTGCATACCATCTAGAGTTGAGCCTCATCCCACATTTAATCCTGTCCCTCCCCTCCTTCCCTGGGACTTCCGAGAACAGGGGTGGGAGGGGTGGCTCTGAGGGACGGCCCTTCCAGAGAAGTGATCCCCCCATTACCACAGCCAGGTGGAAAGTGTCTCTCTCTACCTGCAGATCCATGAGACGATTGAGTCCATAAACCAGCTCAAGATCCAGAGGGACTTCATGCTAAGCTTCTCCAGAGACCCCAAAGGCTATGTCCAAGACCTGCTCCGTTCCCAGAGCCGGGACCTCAAGGTGACGAGGGAGCCCCGGGGCTACTGCAGGGGAAGACAAGCACATGGGCAGAGCAGTGAGCGCCATGCCCTTGGTGGCCAGCGGGGTCAGGGGGGGCGACTCGGGGCTCAGGGCTGACCCATGCTCCCCAGGTGATGACAGATGTGGCTGGCAACCCTGAAGAGGAGCGGCGTGCGGAGTTCTACCATCAGCCCTGGTCCCAGGAAGCTGTCAGCCGCTACTTTTACTGCAAGGTGAGGGGGCCCTTGTTCTCAATGCTCCCCTTCCTCTACTGAGAAGCTGGCCTTGCCACGCCATCCACACCATCCAGCCCTCCCTGCCCCTAGAAGCTGGCTGGTTCCCCCAGGGTGGGGGGGGGGCGGCGCTGCTCTCTCACCAGGACACTAACCCCACTCTTGCACGCGCTTCCTCTAAAGATCCAGCAGCGCAGGCAGGAGCTGGAGCAGTCGCTGGTTGTGCGCAACACCTAGGAGCCGGCGATCGGGATCGGGCGTCGCTGGACCTCGCCGCCAGCTCTGCTCTGGGCTTACTCCTCTGCCGCCTCACGGGGGGAGGAGTGGGGGGGCTGGATTAAAGGTTGTTCATCTGACAGCAGCCTTGTGGTCATTGGAAACTGGGGCAGGGGAAGGCAGTGGGTCTCCCAGGACAAACTCGTCACAGCCTGCCCTTGGATTCTTTTCCCTGTTTTCCCTAGACCTAAAAACAGTTTGGCAGAAGACTTTTAATAACGTTTTCTTATTAAAAAATACAGCGACAAGCCCTCCCTCTGTCCACACCTGGCCCTGCCCTTCCAGGGGCTGGGGCGGACTGAGCCATCTGTCTGAGGTGGGGGGCGAGGGGACTGCTAGGTGCTGTTGGCCTGCTCCTGCTCAAACAGAGCCGTGGCCAACTGGGCGCGGCCCCCCAGCCCCTCCAGGTTGCTGAGGCGGCAGCGGTGGTAGAGATCCTCGCTGAGCCGGGGGCTGCAGTCCCGCAGGGAGAACTTCTGCACCAGCCCTGGCTCTACGGCCCGAAAGAGGTGGAGCCCTGAGAACCGGAGGAAAACATCCATCACCTCCAGCCCCTCCAGGGCTTCCTCCTCTTCCTGGCCTGCCAGTTCACCAGCCAGCCGGGCTCGGGCCGCCAGGTAGTCAGCGTTGTAGAAGCAGCCTTCCGCAGAAGCCTGCCGGTCAAATCTGCCCCCGATGGGGCCCCCCCGGGAAGGGTCAGCACCAGGAGGGGAGGGGGGATCGGGACCAGCCCCCGGGGGCCCTGGGGGCGATCTCTGTGGTGACAGGGCAGGGTTGAACTCCTGGAAGTGGACTGGAAAGAAGGCCTGCCAGCCGGAGATGGCATTCATGCGGCAACGGTTGAGTACTTCTGGCCCGGGCCTCGTCCACACAGTGGTGAGGAAGAACAGAGTGTCCACGGGGTGCTTCTTAGAGACCACGTCCATGAGGCGTACCTGGGAGGGGGCCTCAGCGCGCACAGCAAGCCAGGCCAACCTTGTCCCTGGGTACCGTCGCTCCAACTCGGCCGCTGCAGCCTTTACCCCCAGGAACGGGTCCGGGGTTCCGCGGCCACCTTCCCGGGGCCCGTAGACCAGCAACAGGGTGAGCAACGCGTGCTCTCGTGGCTCCAGAACACCGGCTGCAAAGGCCTCGAGGAAAGCTGGGGCCGCAGCAGCTTCAGCCACCAGGAGCGGCAGTACCAGCTGCACCCTGGTGGCCTCTGTGACGTAGGGCATAGGGAGGATTTCCACCCGGCTCAGTGGCCGCAGCAGGCTGACCCTGCGGGCCAAGGCCCGCCGGTGCCCACGCTGAGTCACGGCCTCCAACAGCAGGTCCAGGGTGTACTCTGTGCCCCGCGCAGGGTCGAAGCGCCGGTAGCCATTCAGCAGCCGCTGCTTCTGGAAGCGTAGGCGGGGCTGGTAGCGCCGATTGAGCTGCTCCAGGGCAGTCTCCACTGCGTCCCCCACGTCTGCCCTGCTGGCCCCCTGCAGCGTGCACTTGGGGGCCCCGTCAGCACAGGAGAAGGTGTGCTGCTCTGTGAAGTAGTCCCAGCTCAGCACCTCAAAGCGAGAGTGTGGGGTGAAAGGGGCCGGGAGTCCCACGGGCCACGTCAGCCCTGCCTCCCCCTCGGGGGTCAGCACAGTCAGGTTCCGGATCTGAGCCTGGGTTGGAGGGAATGCATCTCACATTAGATTCCACTCTGGTTCCAACTGTGTGGCCCTGAGATTCGAGGGGCTGAGCTCTTCCCTAACTCATCAACACTGGGGGAGGAGTCCCTCCTTTAGTCCTATCTGTTACCTTCATTACCGATGAAAGGCAGACGGCTACGGATCACACCCAAGCTTGCACAACTCCCGCGTGAAGGAGGTGGCAGAGGTGTGCCTCTGTCAGGGCTGAGGCATCCTGAGACGCAAGCTCAGCAACCTTTCTTCCCCTCACCCGAGTCACATCCTCCTCCTAACTGGACCCTGCTTTCATCACGTCCACCTCCCACAACCCCAGTGAGAACTCTGCCGCCTTCTACCCCTGGGCACTCCTGGACACTTCTTGGAGTTCAGGAACTTCGAGTGGTACCTCCTCGGGAGTGAGGCACCAGGGGGAGAGGCTAAGCCACTCTGAGATGTGGGTCTGTCTGAGCTTCAGGGCTCACCTGCGCTTGAGGTGTTCCAGAAGCGAGATGGCCAGCTGAAGGTCCTTGTCCCCATAGCTGTCCTAAGTTAGGTATGGCCAGCCTTTATGGAGCCAGGTCGAGCCCTCGCCCTCTCAGCCGCCCACTCGCCATCAGCCTGGCCTCTGGGCCTGGCCCTCCCACCATGCTTTTCCCCACCTCCTTGCCTCCCTTCAGGGCTCACCTGCAGCTGCTCGATTTCGCTGTATGCCTGCTCCAGCTCCAGGGCACTGAAGCGTTTGTGGAGCCGGTACATGAGGGTTCCCTCAGACACGGGGTGCACAGCGAAGGCACTCAGGAAGGCTGAGCTCCCCTCCTTCTCGGGGTCCCTGTTTTTCACCAGTTCAAAGGAGCGATAGTGCTGACCCTAGTGGGACCAATCAGACCGGTCAATGCCACACATGGGTGTTGTCCCCCACCAGACTCGGAGTCCAGGTCACTGGGCTGCTGCCTTAGAACCAGGTCGCGAGGGGAGCCCCTTCTAGCCTCCCTTCCCCTCAACTCACTCTCACAGCCTATATCTTGGGAAGAAAAGACAGTCAGGCACCTAAGGGGACCCTCTTCTCCCAAAGAACCCCTCATTCCTCACTAGCCGGAACCCTCCCAGTGCTCTGAGGAGATGGCCGCCTCCAGGCTCTTGGCTCCCCTCGTACTCCCACAGGGCGGCTCCCTTGCCCCACAGGGCTGGCCGTCTTGGCACACTCCCACACGGTCTGCGACCGTGAAGGACAAGGAGCAGCTGGAGCACCCAGGGGGCTCGTGGCAAGGGAGGGCATGCAGCGGCCTCCGAGGGGCTGCGGGAAGGGGCCGGCAGCTGCCAGCAGAGACCAATCACTCAATCACCTCTCGGGGTTGGGACTGACTTGAAAGGGTTGTCACCTGGTGCTGCGATACACAGCCGACACCCAGTGAGTCGATGAGGCAGCGGCCAAGCCACTCGTCCGGACGCGCGCTGAGGATGTCTCCTCGGCAGCTGTCCAGATGCGGCCGCAGGCGGAGCAGGAGGCTGCGCGACAGCAGGTAGCCGAAGCCCCCGTGACAGTACCGGGCCTGCTCGCCCGCGCCGATGAACTCCTCTGCCCGGCCCAGGTACAGGTCCTGGTTGATGCTGGCGCGCTGAGGAGGTCCCCTCGGCAGCTGCCCAGATGCGGCCGCAGGCGGAGCAGGAGGCTGCGCGACAGCAGGTAGCCGAAGCCCCCGTGACAGTACCGGGCCTGCTCGCCCGCGCCGATGAACTCCTCTGCCCGGCCCAGGTACAGGTCCTGGTTGATGCTGAGGTGGCCGGCAAGGGCTGCCAGGCGGGGGGCCTGCACGTACGTGTCATCCTGCATGATGAAGAACCAGTCGTAGTCGGCCCCGAAGTGTGTGTGAAGGTGGCGCAGCGTCTCTGACATGAGCCAGGCCGGCCGCTCGTCCCCATGAGACACCACCTGCATCCCTGCCGGGGCCCGGGCCCCCCGCTGCCCGGTGAAGTAGAGCAACCGAGGGAAGTGGTGGGCCACCGTGCGGTTCACTGCCACGGCCAGGGTGGACAGCGTGGCTCGGGAAGTCAGGACGGCCACCAGCAACCGCTCACGAGAGCCTAGCTCCGTCTGGATGTATCGAGTCCTGTGGAGAGACCAGCATGCCTGGGTCAACGCCCTGATCTTCAGGGGCCCAGCTAGTCCAGCACACACGCCGGGAAGGAGGAGGCCGCCACTAAGAGCGGCGGCAGAGATGACCACTGCAGTGAGTCTGCACCGAGTGCTGAGCCCGCATCGGCTCTGACAGAGCAGGGCCTACAAGACGAGCTGGACGCATGCTAGGCTAACGTGAGGGTGGGACCTTCTTCGACCTGGGAAGGGGAATAGAGAGCAACCAGCCGGGTGGGAAACAAGACAGACTTACTCCAGGAAACCTAACTCCGTTTACCAGGAAGAGGCAGAGGCGAGGACGTGGAGCAGCCCTGAGCAGAGGACAGGGTCTGGGAACTGCACGGATGTAGCTCTCACCTGAGGACCTTCTTGTAGGGCTTGTTAGGGTCCCTGTAGTAGGGGACAATCCGGGGTTTGAAGTCTTCATCGCTTTGGTCTAGCCGCGTTCTCAAGTCTGGATCGTGTGGACCTGGGGGCTCCCCCACAGCCTCTACACAGGGATCTTCTCCCTCACCTTGGATCCAGGAAACCCGCAAGAGGCTCAGGCTACAACCCAGAGAAAGCCCCAGGATGAGGGGCAGCGTGGGTCGCAGCAGAGCCAGCAGGGAGCTCAGCCGCATGGCGGTAGGCCCTGCCATGTGGGTGTCCAGGGGGCACAGCCTGAAGGGTCAGTGGGCTGCTGGGCGCCAGGCCTGTGGCAGGCCTCAGTTTTAACCAGGGAACCTGGAGTCAGTGAGGTCAGCGACAGAGGACACCATGCTGTCTTCCCCACCCCGCATCCCTAGAAGACGGGCTGTTCAGTCTTCCTCCGCCTGGTCTTCGGCTGCCCACGTGCCAGAGCTGACCCTCAGCCCCAGTGGCAATAACTATATTTGGGAATCAATGTCACTCACTACTGGGGTGGCCGTCTGTCTTCCAGGAGAAAGGATGGCAACGAGACCCAACACTGCCAAGCCTAACTGACAAGGGCACACACCGCCCACCTGCAGACTGGACCTCAAGAAAGGGATGGCAGCGGGGGAAGCACAGGGTCCATCCACAACAGCCCACCCGGAAGAGCACCTCCTGGGCCCAGCACCACTCATCAGGCTGCGGAAGGGGCTGCTACTGCAGGCCGCGGTGCACGCGGTGCACGGAAAGCCGCCGGGACCGCCTCCGCTCCGGAGCGTCAGGGAACACAATGGTACAGCGGCCCCTCCTCCTGCCCACCCAAACGAGGTGACAGATATGGTGACTCAGCACTGACAGCCTCGGAGGAGCGCCACGGCCGACGGAGCCATTTTGCAGGGCATCCTCTCT